TTTCCTCCTCTCCTTTTCCTCCTCTCCTTCCCCTTCCTCCCCTTTGCCCTTCCCTTCTTCTTCCCATTCCTCCCCTCTTTCCTACTCTTACATTCCCTCCCATTCTTCCTCTGCCTTAAAGTTCCATTTTATTAGCGATGTCATATTGGCACATCTGGGAAAACCCAAATCTGAAGGTTTCCAGGTTTTCCCCACCCAAAAGAAAGTCCAAATCTCTGCCCAGCATCCCCATGTCCATCACATGGCCCAATGAAGCACCGTCTGAACTGGAGATGCCTCCCAGTCACACCACTCCATGTGTCCTTGACTCTCTGACAAAAGGAATGTTATTTTCACTACCCCATATAATCCTCCCTCCCAATTTCCTACAGCAAAAAATGTGGCAGGCCTGAAGGGCCAAAGCAAAAGATGGCTTCCAGGCCTGACAATTAGTCTTTGCCCACCTAACATGCAAGTGCTCCAAATCTAATAATTTCTATTTGGATTGGAGGGGTACATGTTGTCCATTGCTGGAACGTGAAAAAAAAAAGGGAATATTAGAGAGGACAAAGGATGCTGAGAACCTGATCAAATCACAAAGCCAGCGATAGTTTTGTGTTCTGCAGGACATGATTGCTAGTGAGGGATACCTTAACTGTAGTTGACTTACCTCTTCCACAACTCTAAAGAGAAATTTTCTTGCTGCCAACTTCAGGTTTTGGTTCTTCAAGCTCCTGATGCTAATTGGAATAACCGTGGGTGCCTTCTATATTCCCGATGGAACATTCACATCTGGTAAAAGAAAAAAAAAACCTTTTTTTCTGTGTATTTATATGAATCTGTGATGCAAAATTTTGTTCATATGTATGCAGGAATTGCTTTAATTAAAGGGAGTGTCTCAGGGCTGAAAGAATAGAATAGAATAGAATAGAATAGAATAGAATAGAATAGAATAGAATAGGAGAACAGGACAGTAGAGTAGAATAGAGGATAGAAGAGAAGAAATAGAATAGAACAAAATAGAGAATAGAGTAGAATAGAGTATTGAATAGAATAAATAGAATAGAATTCAGTGTTTCTCAACCTTGGCAACTTGAAGATGTCTGGACTTCAACTCCCAGAATCCCCCAGACAGCATTCGCTGGCTGGGGAATTCTGGGAGTTGAAGTCCAGACATCTTCAAGTTGCCAAGGTTGAGAAACACTGGAATAGATAATAAAATAGAATAGAGAATAGGAATATAGAATAGAATAAATAGAATAGAATAGAGTACAGAATAGAATAGAGAATTGAATTGAATTGAAAAAAATTGAATTGAATTCTTTATTGGCCAAGCGTGATTGGACACACAAGAAATTTTCGCTTTCGTGCATATGCTCTCAGTGTATATTTAAAAAAAAACATTCATCAAGAATCGTAAGATGCAACACTTAACGATGGTGCTTAAGTGTATTTTTTAAATTTATTTAATGCCTGTCTTTACTGTGGGGCCACTCTGGGCCGCTTACGATAATCAGAAGGAAGGAACGGAAAGGCATGCAAACAGAACAGAAGTAAAATAATAGAGCAATGAAATAAGCAATGACAAAGGAACCCAGCGAGAATAACACATCGATCTGATAGCCAAAAGGATGGGTGGATGGAGAGCAGAGAGCAAGGCGGAGCGAGGTGAAGTCCTCCATCGATCTGGCAGCTACCTCCAGGGAGGTGGGCTAATTTGGGGGCTAATTCTTGGGCCACATGAAAAATAGAAAGATATAAAGGTAAGGCTACTTGCTGGCCTTACCTTAAGGTTGTGCAGGTCTAATGGATGGCAATTTTTTGGGAACAGGAAGAAATTAAGCCTTGAGAGAAATTATAATCCATTTAAGGCTGACACGGTGCTTCCAAAGTGTTTTTAAAGCTTACACATCCACTAGGCCTCTGTGATATATTTAAACTTCTTCCTGGGGTTTGTTGTCTCATTCAAGGATGGTAGCATGAGATTCGGGTTAATAAGGTTCCAAGTAACACCCTCAACAAAAGAAGACACCAGGGCTACAGTTTCCCCAAAGTTCCATTTTATTAGCGATGTCATATTGGCACATCTGGGGAAACCTGAATCTGAAAGTTTCCAGGTTTCCCCCACCCAAATGAAAGTCCAAGTCCCTGCCCAGCACACACATGTCCATCACAAGCTCCCCGTTGGGAGAGCGAGTACGTTCAGCGAAGCATTGTGAGAGTTGTGTTGGAGAACACACAAACCAGCATACAGAGACACTGCAGTTTAAATAGGCTTTTACTTTCGTGGAAACAGAGGTATCAGAGTCCATCAAACAGCCCAAGTCATACACGGATAAGACAGTCAGTCATCAACGTCTTTCAGTTAAGGGATAATCCAAATAACAAAGTCCAGTATCATATAATCAGTTCAATACTCAAAGTTTGCTAGCAGTTGCAAATCTTACAATAGCTCACGGCACTCTCTAACAGCCAGCTTCCAAAACACTCAGATCAGATC